ACTTAAGGAGGAAATCAGATCAGATCTCCCCTTAGAAGCTGGAGAGAGTGGAGGAATATGTGGGTTTCCTTCCTAAACCTGTTACTGAACCTCAGAGTGACACAACTTTATGATAGAGAGTTTAAATACAAATAAATTCAGGCTGTTATGCAATAATTGTGAGTATTTTATATACTGTTGATTTTACATTTATTTCAGTAAAATAAACCAACTTTTCTTTCATTGTTTCCTTGAAACAACAGAAGTGGTGATGTTGGCCATAAAGACAAATCTGTCAAAAAAAAGTAAATCAAATCCAATGTGTTTTACCTCTAGTGCTGTTTCAGTCTCTCCATCCTAAATATTCTCCAGTAGGGTAAAGCTTTTCCTCCTCTCTTTGGTCCATTTTTCCTGCACAGTTCCTTGAAGCACTCACTATCTTTACAACTCTAACATAGCCAAAGCATGTTATTGATTTCAGTAACTACGAAACAACACATAAGATCACGTTCCAGAGACTTTCAAAGCCGAACGCTACCTTGAAGTTCCTACAAACCCAAGACATTTTCTGCAGAAAAAAAAAGTAGGTTAAGCAGATTTGGGCGTCACAGCGTATGACGCAGATCCAGCTCTTTCACTGCTGGGCTGGTGTTAATAAATCCTGGGTGCAAATAAGCTGTCAGATTTATTACTAAATTAAACACTTGTTACTGGAACATCTGAGGGCAGAATTAGTAAAAAGCAACTCCTGGTTTGATGTGAATAAAACAATGAATGGACCTGATAATGGCAGCTCTGTAAAGGTCACATCCATCTCTTGAAACTAAAGAGATTTAAAGCATTATAGATAATGTGCCACAAACACATGTGGAAAACAGTTATTCTCATTCATTCTCGCTGGTAAACGTCATCAAGGGAAGAACATGTGACCTTTAGTTGTAGACTGGGCTAAATCTTGAACATGTAGCAGCTAAATTATTGGCAAACTACATTTAACTGACTCATTTCATGATAACCATCCAAATGTGTGGTGCCCAGTAGATTTATAAAGCTGCTGTCTCAACAGGTCCCAGCAGCTGGGAGGACAAGAACTTTTAATGCTAAATGTTTGAACACATCTCTGTCACTCACAGTCTGTGTGTTCTCCTGGTGTGGGAGGCATGAGATAAACCCTGTCCTGAGATTGTAAAAACCAGCTGTCAAACAAATCTACAAGATTTGGCTTTTTGAAAGGGTTATTTTTTGAGACTTTGAATGTACAACCCCAATTTCAATGACATTGGGATTTTACATCAAACATAAATAAAAACAACACAGTAAGTAAATTCTTTTCAACCTATATTCAATTGAGTACAAAGACAAGATATTTAATGTTCAGACACACTGAAAAAACAAACTTTTGGGTGTGTTAAAATATATTAAGTAGTTCTTTTTAATGTTTACTAATAAATATCATAATCTATAGCAGGGGTGGGCAATCCTGGTCCTCGAAGGCCACAGCCCTACAGGTTTTATGTTTTTCCCTGCTCCAACACACCTGATTCAGACATTACCTCGTCAAAGTTCTGCAGTATGGAGGACCAACACTGACACAACTAGAAAAAAAAGCAGAAATATATAAATGGACCAATAAATAAATTCAATTAAAATATGCCAATTAAATTAAAAAAGGAGAGCTTTATCTCATGTTTTATAATTTAATTGACCTTCATATTTATTTTTCCTACTTAGTTCCAACAAATAATATATTTTTGCAAAAAAGTAAAATGTAAATTATGTGCATATATATATACAGTATACTAA